TGTTCCCTACGACTACTGCCGCGGTGCTGTGGGTATCCAGTACTTCGTTCGGGCGCGCCCTCCGATGCACAAAAGACACCGTGCGAGAGCCCCAACAACACCACCTGGCGCATGTTCAACAGCTTCGGGTTGACACTCGACGCACGGTGGCAGCACGGCACCCCGCGCCTCTCTGGCGCTGTGCTCACAGGCCCAACAGGGGCCTGGCAGGTCAGTAACAGCAGCAGTCTGCCAGGCGCGCCAGGCCCAGGAACTCCCGTCACTTGACCGCCCTTCCCCTTTCCAGCCATGGCAAAAGCTGGCACACTCGACCCCAACCCTGGCTGGGAACCCTGGAACAACGGGAGCTTAGATAATGCGGTCCCCTAATCACACACCAGGCGACTTCATCAATTGCCCTGGGCCCTGGCCGTCATTAGCAATCATCCAGTGCCATCTATACCTTGACCTATCTGACCCTTCGCCGCCAGAACAGTACCGCCAGCCATCCTGCCCGAACTTCATAGCAGACGTTTTCTATCGCTATTGCTAGCTACTGCTTGTGTGCCTGGCCTCCTGTTTCTTCTCGTCCTCCTCCTCCGCCGCTGGCTCCCTCTGGAACCAATCTGCCCAGCTGATCAAGGTACGCACAACGCATAGCCAGCTGTCCCGCGATGGCCCAGCCCTGGCCTGGCTGGCCACACCCAGCCTGACGATGCTGGATGTTGGATCCTCAACATGTCGACACCACATGCTGACAGCCAGTGAGCAAAACGTAGAGAGGCAAGAAATCATCGACATCGACTTTGACGTCACCCCCTGAAACCCTCCCCCCCACCTCAGCCTGTCGTCGCCCCTTGTCCTAGGGAATCCGGCGTGTGCCACTCCGGATTGCTTCACCCCGTGATGAGGCACCATGGGTATGACTCCCTCTGCCCTGCTCCCCCTCCTACCCACGACTCGTCTTTCCCCGCCGATGCCGTCCATACCTTGCTCAACACTCTGTGTCTCGTTACCCCCAACCTTGGCAGCTCGCTTGGCATGTCTGTTAAAATTGTTGGCGAGGGTACTGGGGCTGGTTGGCACCAAGAGCGCATTCGGGACGGCTGC